GAATCAATAATATATGAGTAGTTGGCAACAAAGACTAATACTTTGGTTGGTGACATTAAATATTCATTGGGGAGGGACAGAATATGAAATAAATAGTCTTAGTTGTTGTTTGATAAAACTGACTAAACTTACATGGAAAATTTGACATTATATAATAAGTTTATAGTGTGTGTGTGAGTGTATGTATGTATATGTGCACTAGAAATCTTGAAAATTAATTAAAGTTGGATGTGTGTGTGTGTGTATATATATATATATATATATATATATATATGCATGCAAATATTGTGCAAAACTGTGACATCAAAGAAATGTTTTGATATTTACATGTATATGTCTTGACTAACTTAGTGGTTCTTGCTTCACAGAGATAACTAATTTGCATATTCAGTGTTAAAAATCAAAATTAAAAAATAACTGCTTTGTTAGTCATTGCAAAGCTAGTGTAAGGGTTAATTTCTTAAAAGCCAAAACATAATTATTAAATTGTAAGAATTTTTGGAGGAGATAATAATGATTTAGTGATACAAATCTTACTAAATCACCCATCTATGAGGGGAGAAGTGATGGATATAAGTGAATATAATGAACCCAACTGGAATTGGAACTCAGCTCTCTAATTAACAATTCTGATCCATAATCTATTACACCACCCACACATCCAACCTTCACCCATCTAGGGTACAGACCAGGCTTGACATTATACATGCCTTCATTCAAAAGTAGAATATCATGAGAAATGAGATTATATTGAGGATTAAATTTGTAATACTGATTTTTGCTTTCATTTTGGTGTGCTTTGTGTAGTTCTACTATTAAACCTGTTGTAAATAAAGATGAACAGGCATTATTTTTGACTGACCCTAGTACCACAACAGAGAAGGAAGGAAGCTATATTGATGATTAGATTTCTAACCAGTTAATATCAAGTTGTGGCAAAATGAATGAGACTTGCTGGATGAAACTTTTAATTGTAGAAATAACAAATTACTTATTTTCAGTTCTAAAGTAATCAATTCACTTTTTGCATGCTTCACCTCCATGTATCGAATCACCTTTCTAAATAAATGAACTTCAACAAGCTGATTTTCATGCATGTTGATGTCTTTCATGTACCAAATGAAAATGTACCTTTGTGGCTGAATACTATATTGATGATTTGGTTTAGTTTATTTGGCATAACAAAACCTCAATGGGTTATTTAATGCTAACAAGATTTTTAGGTTCATATAGATAGAATATGTATTCTTTGTAAGAAATCAGTTTGTAGATCAGGTTTCATTGATGTATTTTTGTAAAGAGGTTTTTTGTCAAGAGTCAAATCTATTGCTGGTAATATTTTTTTTCAAAGATATATTGCTAGTATTAATTATTTTTTTTCAAAAATGAATTTCTGATAATAATTATTTTTTTCAAAAATGTATTGCTGGCAATTATTTCTGTTTATTTTTGCCTCAATGATTCCGCAGTATAACTTTTTTGCATCATGCTTATATATTAGGGTATTATGAGATTTTACTTGTCCAGTTTATGTTTAGTGGGTGAACTGTCTATAATTTCTATGCTCTCTGGTCTGTTATTGCTTTGTTTCTTGTCATGTTTTGTTTTTCAGAGATCTTTTATCTCTGCTTGTCTGTTTGATCTTGTTTTGTTTTTCCATTGGGTTCCTTTGGCAATCTTTGGATGATGACCATTTCCTTATTTGAGGCGAGATAGAATTTTGTTCATCTATGTCCATTTCTTACTTTTTTGGTGATGTACTGGGTTTAGTTATTTCTTTTAATGAACCTTTTGTTTTTCTAGCGAATGTTTGGAGGGTTCTATTTCTTGAAGGATTCTTGTACTTTAGATTGGGGTTTTCAGAGTTATTTGTTTTGGACTCAGATTTTTTTTTTTGTTTGAAGTTGACAGAATAGGATTTGTTTTGATTATAGGTGTTTGGTTTATATATGATATACTAAATTTTAGTAGTTCTATTAGTCTTTTTAATTCATTTATTAGAGTTATAAGTTCTTGGCTTCTTATTGTGCTGTTTTCTTGTATGTCATTTTGGTGATTTGTTATTTTAGTAGTATTTGCGTATGATGTTGGAAGTGAGTCAGTTTCTAGCTTCTTGGAACAAGATGTTTTGTGTGTATTTTATTCTTATTATTTGTTTTTCATTTTTTCCAGGTGTTACACTCTTTATAATCTGCTGAGTGGTTTTGCTTGCAGTTTGGACATAAAGGAGGCCTTTCACAGGGTGACTCTTCATGTTCAGTCTCAAATTCCCCACATCTTCAACAGACTGTTACTCCCATACATTGATCTTGTAGATGGTCAAATCTTTGTGACATCTATAGGGATTAGGGATGTATGACACTACCTTGGATATTGTGTATCCTATTTTTTATTTTTTCAGTCAAGTAGGTTTGTTGAATGTCAAAATGTATGTGTTTATTGATGTGCCATTTCTTTTTTTTATTTGTATTCTTTTGACATCTGTTACACCTTGTTTTTTTTATGGTGTCATTATTTTTAATTTCTTCCAGTGAGCAGAGTGATAGTTCTGGGCATTTTATTAAAATCTTAGAGGAATTAAGAAATTGGTGGGGGTAAGCCTTTATTTTCGTGTTGTTTATTTGGTTGATTTTTAGTATGTTTTCTGCATCTTTTTTGGTTTTTACTTAAATTAGAAGTGTGTTATTTTTCCTTATTTTTTTTTTTTTTACTGATTTTGGTTCTGTCATGGCTGATATAACCTTTTGTAACACAAAAGGTGACACTTTTGCGATTTTACCCTCTAAACTGAAAATTGGAAATTGTTTTTTCAGATATTTCATTGTCACTTTCTTTTTCAGAGATTTTGTACTGTCTCTTGGATCATTTATAAGAGTTAGTCATATAATTTTGTTTTTGTATTTTCTGCCTGTGCTCCCCACCCATCACACAGTTCCTTCTTCAGGGATGCTATCAAGGGAGACAGATCCCATTTGCCGTGATCCACCAGAGCTACACAGACAGTATAGTCATGCTGAAAGTGGCTGAGAGTACCTGCATTCCCCCACCATATCTACCCAAGTATATTATGGTGTAAGGATTTGCAGCCATGTCACAGCCATTCTTTCATCCCAATTACCCCTTGCCACTATTTGACTAGCTGATTGGATTGGATTGGGTTAGTTCATCTCCACATCTATTGCAGGTCGAAACTTCTGGCCATTTATACCAGATCAGGAGTCACTCAGTCACCAGGACTCTGTTCCCAGGCATTACATGTCACCACCCATGGCAAACAGGTGGCCCCATTGTGGGGGATTTGTAGTTTTGGGGAATTGATTTTCATAAATGTGCACTTTATATATTGCAATTTTATAGGTATTTTTGTATGAGCATAGCATTTTGTGTAAACAGATATTTTGTGGATTATCATTTTTGTTGGTAGTTTAAAGGTGTCTATTTTTTAATATATTTTGTTTGTATGGAAAAACTAGATTATTTTTCCTGAAGGCACCATCCTAGTTATAAATGTATAGGTTGTAGGCAAAGTTTTCTTCATATAAATAATTAGTTTTTAATCCATCTTGCTTCCTATACTACACCTGGTAGTAGTTTAATGTCTTACTCAGAACATAGGCAAACTTGTTATGTGAAAAAAATCCATGATTGCAGTTTAGCTTTGTGCCCAGGATGTAAATGTAGTTTAATGTCATCCCCAGGATATGGATGCAGTTTGATGTCATGCCCAGGATAGACTATACTGATGAAGCTATTTGAAATCTTGAAATATTTGTGTTTATTATGCATTCGGTGCTTCAACTATTAAATCTGTGCTAATTGTAATTAAAGAAGAAGAAACATTACTTTTTGATCCACCCTTGTACCACAACCGAGAAGGAGGGAGACTATGCTGATACCTAGATTTGGGATCCTAAGACATTTGTATCCATTTTGGTATGCTCTGTTTGCGTCTACATTTAAATCTGTTGTAATCAAAGAACAAGCATTCATTTTTTACTAGCTCTTATATAATATTCATTATGGTTTTTCAAAGTGTTTTCCCTGCTGGTCAATTTCTAATTGGGTGGGTTGTCTTTCCTAATCATTAGTAGCATCTCAGGTTGTCTTGACCTTACACTAGCTAACCTACATCATGTCAAAACATATTTCTGCTTATAAAGTCCTGAACCAACAACATGTCTGCACATAAACTTCACTACAACAAACATCTGCATTGACAGTTTTAAATAAGCATTTTTATTCTTAAGTAAGCCTTTTAGCATTGTGATTTATTATGATTAGTTAATTAGCTGTCACTACATTATAACAATATACAATATAGTAATTTGATTAATGAACTTTGTTAAGACAAGTGTACATGAATGCATGTCATAACATTAACCCACGTAAGTAATTCTATAAATACTATTGTCTGAAGTTTTATGATCAAGTATGAGCATCATTTCCAGAATTAGTCAAACTAGTATCTTCATTTCTGTCTGAATTTCTGGGATGAGATTGATAGACTGATTGATTTGTCTGTTATGGCTTATCAACCCTTTGTGGGTTATTTCAAGCTGAAACATATTTGTTTTGTGAGAATGTCAAGTCTGTTTTTATTTATAGAATTTATGTAATATTTTCAAAAGGAAATAATTAGCAGTTAACAGACCTGAATGTATCTGCTTGGACAGACATTGTTTTTGTCAGTTTATTCTTAATTAAAGATTATTTTGAAACTGGTAACTGTACTGGTTTGAAGATTACTTAATTCTACAAGTTAGAGCAATTCAACAGTATTGCACTAGCACAAATTTTGCTACAAGGTGCTGAATAACAAACATAGAAACAAAGAAATCAGTTCATTATTATACAGATTACAAAGCAACATACTTTTGACATATATCAAAGTTGGAGTATATTTTAATTTCCTTTTCTTTCAATGGAATCCATAATTTCAAGTAGGAATCCATTGTACCCACCATATGAAAAAAATACATAAAAAGTTGACAGATACTTACCATTACTTCTGGATTGACAATTGTAAGGCTGGAGAGAAAATGTATAAGCTTTAAGTACAGAATCCATCTTGTAGAACTTCATCTGATAATACAATGCATTATGGGAGAAGGTGAAAGGTAAGTTGAACCAGGAGGGAAGAGGACTCAGCAAGTGTCGACGATTACTGGAGTAGAATTCAGCACTAATAGCAGACTGCAAATAAAAAAAAAAAATAAGCATTTCAGGCATGAGCTTGAAGATCCCTCCAATGAAACAATTTTCTAACAGCAAAGCCCATAAATGGTTTCCTTCCTTTTTCAACTGTATACAAACAAGTATATTCTCTCTCTCCTCTTGAATTGTTATTTTTTATGAAAATATTTCTTTCATTATGACCTGAGGAAGACAAAGAGAGCAGATGAAATGTGAAACATTCATGAATAAATTTTCTACTTTTTCTCATCTTCACTTTCGTTTTGGATACTATTATACATTCTAAGAACACACAAAAATATATATGTAAAATTCCTTCGAGTGTTGAAAATTCCTTTCTATTGAAAATGTTGAATTCATTTACTCTGAAAGTCTTCATCCATATCAGCAACAAGCCGTAACTACTCCTACTACAAATTGGTGACCAACGGTAATCTTGTCCATTATAATCCTGTAGAAACACTATGCTATTTCTATATTTTTTTAGCAATATGCTATATTTCTCAACTTTAAATTTGAAGACCAATGTGGAGGTTAGTGTTTGCCATACAAAGCTTTTTGGTTTTTTTAAAACTGATTTATCAACATGAGTTGTTAATCCAATACAGTGGAGGACCTTTGTGAGAAAGGGTGTGTACACTGCAAAAAAACAAGCTCAAGGAGGCAACGCTGGAATGACATAGTAAGCAATACAGCAAAACTCCTCTGACATCTCCATCAACTGTCAAGTGCATAGCAAGCCATACCTGTCAAAGATGGCCTATATAGCCATTCTAGAAAACACATCAATCCTCCCCACTACCACAATAAAAGGAGCAATCCGCATCCTCTGGGATGGATAGTGAGAGTGATTTGATAGCTATTTAAATGAATGTTCAAAGCATTTAACAGAAAAATATAATGCAAAAAATATTTTTCAACTATCATTTCTGAAACCTAAGTTTTAAAATTTAAATAGTAAAGTCTATTTTAAAATGTTATTCCTTGCCTAAAGTCACCTGCTATTTCTATTGGTAAAATGGTTGAATATAATTTATTTTTGTGTATAAGGTAACCGTGACCATGTCTATATATTTATTAAGCACTCATATAGCACTCAGTTGAGTAGAGAGAAGTATTGAAAGATTACCTTAGGCCAATCTTTAAAGTGGGGAGGGCTTACTTGCTTGCTTAGAAAAACAACATTAGAAATCCAGGCTTTCACTGGATATTGGACATCAATGACTAGAACTGGTAGACAGTAAAATCTATTATATTGGAAAAAAAAAAGATACCACAACAAATTTATTTAAAAAAAAGAAAAAATGAAACTGCATATCAAAAAAAAAAAATCACAGTAATTTTTTTTTTAATTACAACAGCAAATTTAAAAAAAACAAACTCCAAATCACTTAATTTAATTTTTTTTTATACTACTTATATTAGATCTTTTGTGAACCTTATCCCTTCAGCACACGAGCGTTTATGGCTCTCCAAAATTTACTGTCTCTTGTGGCTCTTAGCAGTATTTCACTTTTTTGTTAAGGAGTCCAGCCCTCATTCCGCCATCCAATCACGCAAACTCATTGGGTAAGTGGCTTGCTGCCTTCTCCTATCTCTCTTGCTTTCAATATGCCTTGTAAGGGTTAAATTTTTCAAAAACAGTAAATCTTAGACTTGGACATCTTTAGATATGGTTCTCAGACACAGGTCTGCACTATGAAATACTATCAGCTAATCACTATTGTAAGTCATGGTGACGAAGCAAAATTGCTCATAGATGAGACAATTGTAAAAAATTCCTAACAATTTAACCATATGAAAATAAATGACTAACCCTATCACATATTTTTGACTATCTCCTTTGAAGTAATACTTTGTAAAGACAGCAGAAGCTAATGCACACAATATGTATTCTTTGTATGAAATCAGTTTGTACATCAGGTTTCATTGACGTATTTTTGTAAAGAGGGTTTTTGTTGAGAGTCAAATCTATTGCTGGTAATGCTTTTGTTTTTTTTTCCTGAAATGTATTGCTGTTAGTATTTTTTCTCTTTTAAAAATGTATTGCTGGTATCTTACTTATTATAAAACGCAGGTTGTGTGTGTGTGTGTGTGTGTCTGTAACGTTTATATGTTGGATCGAATTTCCTACATTTTTTAGCGATTTCAACAAAACTTCACAGGACTACATAAAATTAGCTTTTTGGTGGTTCTGTGACGAAAATGGGAAAAACACAGTTGTTTTTAAGAAAATCAATTTGAAAACACGATTAAGACACATCGTGAGAATGAAAGGGGACAACTCACCCACGAAAATGTAAACAAAAAGAGCATAGCATGATGAAAAAGACGCCCGAACTTGACAAAAACAAAATTTTATCGTCTAATGTTCATATTATTATTAAAGAGGAAAGATCAAAGTATTTTTGTGGTATTTTTTACATTTTTAATCGTTCTAGCACGTCTGAAATTTTCGTTAAAAATATTGTTTTTTTGGTAAAAAAAAAAAAAGGACAGATAATCATTTTCAATCATTTTTTGATTTGATAAAAAAAGATTAAAATCTTACTTTGATATTCTTTTAAAAGTCAATTATCATTTTTCAAAACTGATTTTAATAAAAACAGATATTATACTGTTTATTTAAAATATTTTGAACCAAGCTTAACTTAGCTTCTGCGCCAAAAAAAATGTAATTTGAAAAATAAAACAAAGCAGGTCATAACCTTTCGCGTAAACTTGACGATTGACGAAAGGCACATTCATGACGTTTAGATAACTTACGGGAGGGTAATTCTTTCTACAGATGGAACGAAGTGAAATTATTTAAGTGAACAAATTATTTGCCGTTACTTTTAAGGATAACTTTCAGCTCTAATTTTTTTTTTTTTTTGTACTTAGCTTTCATTTTTCGTTTACGATGCTTTATGGAAAATATAAAGAAATTAAAAAATAAGACTGTTAATAGTGAGATTAAATTTCATAAGAAAAAGGTATCTAATTAATTTAGGTACCTTTATGAAATTTTATCAAAAGTGTACATAAAATACTATAATTTTATGTACATTTATTACATTTTACTGTGTTATTTGTATTTCCATTCATTTTATTATTAATTTTGATATTTCATTTATGGAAAAATGTCATAACTGAGATTAATATAAAAATAAGATCATATAAATTAAAGTTTAGCAGTAGTTAAATTTCATAAGATGATTCTTTGTAGGTACCCTTCTCAGTTGAAATTGAAAACTCAAATTAACTTCTCCATAATGTTTATAGTAAAAAGTAAAGGGCTTAACAGCGGAGAACAATGCTGAACTCAAATAATGCAACTAAATTGTATTCTGGTTGGTCTTCGTTGCTTGATAATTACTGTCCGACTATAAACACAAAAATTACATTTCTTAATTATCATGGCTAATCTGATTGGTCCAAATTATACAATTTTCAAAGCGCTAGACAATGACAATTTCACACGGACATTTTGAAAGGTTGATATTGCATTTAACTAATGTTAAAATATTTTTTAAAATTCAATTTAAACATTTTTTAAAAATCTTTTTAAAATTAAAGAAATAAAAATAATTGTATTAAAAATTCAATTTTCATTAAAAAATTTTTTGCTTCAGAAAATATTGTCCATATTCATAAAAACAAATTAAAACAAATAAAAGCATTTGAAACTAAATAATATATTTGTTTTATTGAGTTTTGTATGTTACAATTCACAGCTGATTTTCAGGTACGTTGGCCAAAAAAAAAAAAATACATGATTTGCATTCTTCAAAGCCTTGTGCTTTTAACTATTGTAATCACTAAAACCGATGGTCTCGAATTTCTAGAGTTTTTCATAAAATTAGTTATGGGGGTGTTAATAAATATAAAAAAAATATTTCTGCCATGACTTTAATAAAAAAAAAAAAAAAAAAAAACATAATATTATAATAATTTCGATCATCTGTGAATAGTTTCTGAAAGTTTCATTAACATCTGACAATTATTTTTATTTTTGCATGATTTTCCAAATTAATGTGTGTAAATACAAAAAAACGCGCTAAAAATTATCTATGTTATTTACTAACCCTTGTTGCGACAAAGAGAAACAAGGTTTTTTAAATCAAAATTTAGAATATTCTAAAAAGATGGAAAAATTTTAAAAAATAATTAAAAAAAATTTTAGTCTATCCTCTTCATAAAAACATAAGCATTTTGACGATAAAATTTGGTTTTCATAAACTTTAGCGTCTTTTTCATCAGACTAGGTTCTATGTTTTAGCGATTCCGTGGAGTGACTTAGGTTAAAAAACCCAGGTTGTTTGTGTGTGTGTGTGTGTGTGTGTGTGTGTGTTCCTTTATATATGGGATCGGACTTCTTAGATTTTTCAGCCGATAAAACAAACATCCACTTTTTTTTGGCAGGTAGTATTTCTTATTGTCTTGCACACTTTTTCTTTATTTTACATTCAGAATGCTTTAAAAATTCCATTTACAAGACAATTGTTTATAATAAAATTCTATTCATCAATCGATAGACTCATAACGATTGTAAACAATGTTTTTTTGTTTGAGTTTGACCAATTTGTAAAAAAAAAAAAAAAAAAAAAATAATTAAGACATGCGTGTCCGTCAACCTTAAACAATAATCTTTGTCAATTTTATTTTTCAGTCTTTATGATAGTCGATACTTGATCTATCTCTTACTGTTACATCCCCGGGCAACGCCGGGCTCTACTGCTAGTTTTTACTATAAAAATCTATTTTTATACTTTCATAGTGTTCTGATCCCAGTTTGGGGGTTAACTATTTGCCCATAGTTGGAAACCTAACAGGTGCTACCACCCCTGGGAACAACAGTAATTAAGAGCTGGTTCTATGCTCCTCAAAACCTACTGATCTGAGGTCTTGATGCCAGATATAGTTCATCGTCATATCCAGGACGACAAGTGCAGTTGAGAATGCATCTGTTCTTTGAGCAAATGTAAAAGAACATTTTGAATACACTCCTTTATGCATCA